ACGGTTTGGTCATCTATGTAAACAAATATTAATAGAAATCATTCCAATGTGTACTATTGGTCAGTAAAAAAAAACACACAGTAAGGGGAGTGATTAGTAAAATATGCATAAATAAAAAGAAAGAATGCAGACTAGGTAAGATAAAGATAGGAGAGAGGAGTTTATCAAATATGTGTTATTGGTTGTGAGCATATTCTAATGGTTTTTTGATTATTGAAATATATACAGTTCTGTTTCATATCAGTGTTGAAAACTGTATCCATAAATCTCTTAAAGGTGGGGTAGGTAAGTTTGAGAAACCGGCTCGAGATACACTTTCTGTTATATTCCATGGAATGCTCTTAACATCCCGATAGCAATGAATATCTGAAGTGCTTTGACAAAAAATCCATAATAAATGTCATCTGTGGAAGCCGTAGTACTGTAAAAAGCACGACCAATCATCTGAGCCGGCCCGGCTAAAATAACTGGATGGCCTACCTGCCTGTCAGCCTTCCATCTGTGCACAGACTTATCTCGTGCCCTCATTGGTCATGTGTGCGTTCGTGTGTGTTGGAGGAGGGGCTCTGTAAGGAAGTGGCAGATTTTTTCCGGCTGTGTATTTTCAAATTTTAGCGCACTCTCCAAAATTACCTACCCTACCTTTAATGTTGCCCTCAAAGTGCACCAGATTGATGCATTTAGCTTCACTTTAAAGAAAATAATCTTCATGGGGGTGCATGCCCCCGGACCCCCCAGAGGATGTGAGGTAATCACAAATAAAACAGGTTCACATGGATAGGATACTAGATAAGTGTGCACACTCATTATATGTACTGCACATTTTTCTTGGATTTGTTAACACCATAGTCCCTGATATATTTGTAGAAATGCAGGAAATGGAATTTAATCGAGAAAATGTTTCATTACGGAGGACCCCCTGTTTTGTGTCCCCCCCCCCCACTTCACCCTTTTTATGTTCATATGATAGTGATTTCAATGCCACCCCAAAATGATCACTGGTTCCATCCTGTGGCCACCCCACTGAAAATGTCCTGGCTCCGCCACTGTATGAATGGTCTTTGTTGTTATTGGCACCAGACACAACTGTTTTTAAATTATAGTTAGATCAATTGAATGATAAAGTGGTAACAGACCTTTTTTTAATTGATTTCTAATTATTTCAACCCACCATTGAGCGCTGTTAAAAGCAACAAATGAAACATCAGATAAAAAGTGAACCATTGATGCCTGAGCTGGACTGATCCATTTTCTGATAATATTTCTCAAATATACTGAATACACAGAAAGCAAAAAAAAGGGCTAATTTAATCCAATGTTTTGTCTAAATGTCCTCAAATTCTGGAATGATCCAAATAAAAAGTGAGTCAAGCTCCAGCAAGAGGACAATATTTAAATGTTATCAGGCCTTCAACAACATTTTTGATTGCAGATTCACCAGCTAGCTAGCAGTTAGCATTAATTAGCATTGCTAGTGTAACCCTTTATGTAGCCTTACCCTGTGGTAGGCAATCTGTAATGATAATGATGGCTTCAGTATCTATAGTGTCTAAATCTAGATCTCTAAGGCAGTGGTTCTCAAATGGCGGTACGCGCACCCCTAGGGGTACGTTGGAGTACTGCAGGGGGTACGTGAGATTTATTTTATGTTTATGAAAGAAAAAAAACATAAGTAATGCATTTAAACAAACTACTAATAGTAGATGAACTACTTTATTCAAAAGTTTACAATAATTCTGGATAATAAAATGGGAAAAATAAACGGGGTGCTCTCTTTTCCTCTCTCCTGACAGCCCTCGTCAGTCTCGTGCAGCTCGCTGAACCTGTAATGTTTGTTTGTTTGTTTGTAGCCTTTATTTATCCAGGTTAAAAAAATCCCATTGAGATCAACGATCTCTTTTACGAGGGAGACCTGCGGCACATTTAGTTACACATATAAAAACAAACAGAAAACAAAAGGACATCACAACATAATTACAGGGGTATACATTAGCAACCTATTCACAGTGACAGGTACCCATTAACATTTCATCCAGCCGTGCTTTAAAACGATGCAAGGGAATCAAAATGCTCAGTTTCAATGTTTTTTGCATAGTGTTCCAAGCTAGAGGAGCAGCGCACATAAAAGCTTTAGCACCTAAAACAGTCCTAGCACTTGGCACATGTAATAAGAACACATCCTGGGATCTCAGGCAATAGCTACTTGCCACTGTCCGTGAGATCAAAGAGCAGATATAAGAAGGTAGTTTACCCAGCATGGCTTTGTAGATGAACATGTACCAATGACTGAGCCTCCGACCAGTAAGTGAAGGCAGACCTGCCTTGGCATACAGGGTACAGTGATGAGTAAGTACTTTACAGTTAGTAACAAATCTCAGAGCACTGTGATAGGCGGCATCTAACCTTTCCAGGCAATGGGCAGGTGCATTCATATAGATCAAATCACCATAGTCTAGCACAGGTAAAAAGGTCACAGTGACTAGCCTTTTCCTGGCTTCAAAAGAGAAACAGGACTTGTTTCTGAAAAAGAAACCTAGTCTAACCCTCAGCTTTTTAAGCAGATTAGTGACCTGAAGTTTAAAAGTAAGACAATCATCAAGCCAGATACCAAGGTATTTATAATAGCTAACCACTTGGAGTACTTGTCCTTGCATAGTCACAATATCCAAAGCAGTCTCTGGAGTCTTTTTAGCTTTAGAAAAGAGCATTACTTTGGTTTTCTCAACATTTAAAAGAAGCTTTAGTTCAGAGAGCTGAGTCTGAATAATGTTAAAAACAGCCTGTAATTTAACAACCGCCTCCTTAATGGAGGGACCTGCACAGTACATCACGGTGTCATCCGCATAAAAATGCAAAGTAGCTTCATCCACATTTTCACCTAAACTATTGATGTAGATGGAGAATAAAAGTGGACCTAAAACAGAACCTTGAGGAACACCATTAGCAATGTTCAACCACTCAGAAGACAGCCCATCAAAGTGAACACATTGGGACCTTTCAGAGAGGTAGTTCACAAACCACCCCACTGCATGGCTGGATATGCCAATACTGAGTAGCCTCTGCTTCAAGATGTGATGATCGACTGTGTCAAACGCTTTGGAAAGGTCAATAAATAGAGCTGCACAACTCTGCTTTTTATAATAAGTGACCCGACAGTAAAGAATACATATATTCATAATTAGCTAGTTCCAGAGTAGATAAACTAGTGTGTTAGGTCTAACTGTGTATTTTGCTCCACTCAACGGTCCGTCACAGCGGCTGAGCTGTGATCCGGAAGAGCTGCGCGTTCTCCGTCTGATCTGATCTCTGATCTCTCTCTCGTGTCCGGTTATACTTCAGTTGCGTTTATGTCCAAAATCTATCAGATCTAGCTAGTTCTAGTTAATTATATGACTGCCTGCTTATCAAAGGACCTAAACAATAAGCGTTGCTTGGCAAAATAAATAAATATACCAATTTTAGGAGTAGTGAGGGGTTTTTTTTAGAGTTAGGCTACACATATTTCAAAACGTGAAGTGTAATAACGGCAGGTTGCCTCCCTGTCAGAATGACAAAGATCCTCAGTGAAGCACAAGCCCATGTTTCTCACTAAATTGTAAGTACAACTTATTAAAAAGATCAGTTCATTGCAACCAATGTTATTGCATGATGTTAAAATTGGTTTGCCATGAATTTAGTGATGGATTGTAAACATTTGAAATGTAGCATTTAAGTGTTTCTCAGTTACAATGTTGTTGTTTGAATAAATCAGACACTGATGGTGCAGTGCTGTACTGTATCTCTTTATATAGGCTAGGCATTTTTTCCCTAACAAATTGTTTTTGCGCTGATCAGGGGGTACTTGGCTGAATTTTTTTTTCAAAGGTGGTACATTATTGAAAAAAGTTTGAGAACCACTGATCTAAGGTATCCCAAACCCAAAATACACAACAAAGGTTTACTCTAATTCTAGGTTGGATTAGGATATTGGTTTAGAAAACGCTATAAATATTCAACATACTATACTATTTAGTTTTTTGCCTATTTTCTAAATACTATACTATGTCGTTTATATGAAATATTCAGCATACTATACTCAGTTGTTTTTTAAAAATATTTGACGTACTATAATCTGTAGTTTATGAAACATCAACAAGGACAGATATGAAGACATGATTTAGATTCCTTGACATTTAAAAAAAAATGATGAAAATTCCAAGAAAAAAACACATAGTATGTCTGAAACATACATCTAAAGTCAATCATCTTCCGTGACTTTTTTTTCCAACATACTATACTATGACTTTTTTCCCCGAAATGTCAAGGAATCTAAATAATATCATGTCTTCATATCTGTCCTTGTTGATGTTGCAAATGGAGCTGCTGTGATGTAAAATGCCAGACTTGATCTGACCATTACATTATTATCGTATCGTATATCGTACAAAATACTGTGTTAAATTACAAAATACATGGTTCTGTCAATAAAACCTAGATTGATGTTTGCTTTGGAGGAAGATTTATTATTATTATTTAGATTCCTTGACATGGTGGATATTCATCATCATCATATTGTAAAATGAATCTTCAGAAACACCACAGTCGTCCTGAGTTTTGTGTTTGTTTTTAAGGTAAACATCTCAGGCCCCGTTTACACGAGGACGAAACGGGTTGTATCCGCATAGTTTCTCTCGCGTATAGCCCGTTCGTTCACACGAGGCCGTAACGGAACAGCGGAAACGGACCCCGCAAACGATATCGGGTCCCAAGGTGGATAGATCTGCAAACAGAACGCTCTGGGGGGGCAAACGGCTCCGTGTGTACGTCCTATAAGATCATTTCCCGATAGATGAAGCCATAGCCCCGCCTCGTTAAATGAATCGAATGCGTGTGAACGGAATATTTTTTTGAAAACGCATACGGCGCGTAAACGCAAACGTTCCCGTGTAAATGGGGTCTAATAGTGAATAGAGTTCATGAAGCTGTTGAGTCTACAATAAAGTAATCCTTCACAAAACCAATAAACACACAGCAGAGAGTTTATTTCTCAGGATGTACAGTTGTCATGCAGGTTTAATAACTGTTCAGTTTATATTAATCGGCGGGGGGAGGGAGGGTCTTAGCGACAGTTTCTATATTCATCTTAGATCTTCATCCTTAATGTGTAATAGTTACAAAACAGCTGTAGCAGCTAAATAAATACGTTAATATTAAGCTCTCAGTCCAGACTCATGTCCTCGTCGTCGTCCTTCTTGTCCTTGGAGTCTCCGTCCTGGTCCGACTTTGTCTCCGTCTCCATGGCTTTGGCAAAGGCTTCGACGTCTGCAGAGAGAGAGAGAAGTGATCATGAATTACTGCTGCGAGAACTGATGGTTTTATTATTAACACAGTAAAGAAATACCAGTCAATGAAGTGGGTCAGAGTATAGTATCTACTAAAAAAGGTCACGGTAAAATGACATAGTGTCAGTGGCGACTGGTCATTAGGGGCAGGTGGGGCACAGCCCCACCTAGTGTCAGCAGAAAGTATTACAAATAATTATTACAAAAAATGCAAAAAATTAATTAAAAAAAATATAAAATATATTTTAAGATCATGTTTAATCATCTGATTCGTCTGTACATTGCTGTTTTAGTCTGTGTTCTTCTAATTAGTGTCTACAGTGTGTGCCTATTGAGCTTTATATATACAGTCTATGCTATTGAGCTGTTTAGAGCCAAGTGGGACAAAACCTGATCATGCCCCTTCCTCTCACTGTCTGAGTGAACGGTGACTGTAAAAACTACACTGCGCATGCTCAGAGTATTTTCCGATTTAATGTGTGTGGCAAAAAAATAATGACCATAGGGGCACTGAGCTGCCATCCCCACCATACGTCATCTCACATAATTCAGAGCTGATTGGCTGTAAGTACGTGTGCCGCGAAAAGTGTGGTGTGTGAAGAGGAGACGAGAGAGCTGCAGTGACGCGTCCTAAAACCCGGAGGTAAGCTGCGCATGGCTTCCCTCGACAAAAAAGCAATGAGATTTCTCCATAGGATTTTAGAAAATAGCTCGAAATAAGATCTGTGGGAAACGTACCTGTTAGATAAATGCACGTTTTGTTCAGCCGGATAACATCCACATGTCTACCCTACTTTTATAATTTTTGAATCATAAATCTATCGATTAGATTTATGATAGACTTTTGAAACTACAAGAAGATAAGGAGGACTTTTACAAAAAAGTAATAGAAATGTTTGTCCAGAAGGATAGGCAAATGGACTTCATCTTCAAGTCAAGGTAAGACCGCCATTTTATTGAAAATGGGATCTTACTAAGAGAGAACAATTCAATATTTAAATGATAAAATTACATTTTTTGGGTATCCTTTTGTTGAACTGTCTGTTTAAAATTAATCGAAGCATCAGACAAAAAAAGCTTTTGAAAATAATATTATATTTTGGTTTAGGTCAAAATATAATATTTGTAAACCTGAAGAGTCAGTGCCAGTGCCTCACCAGCCATGAACCTCACTGCACGTCACTGCAGAAGCTTATATATAGACATCTACGTTTTTTGTGCCCCACCACTTTTGTACATATAAAAACGCCACTGCGTAGTGTGTTGTGAAAAATCCCAGAAAATGTGTAGAAATTAGAAAAAGTCATATAATCGTAGTGTGTTATAACGCTTTGTGCAGAATGCTTTGGTAATACTGTGTAGTATAGAGTAAAACGATCCTAAATCCTAAGAATCGTAGAATAAGTCACAGTATAAATGTCCAAAAAGAACCTAAACCATGAAGGTGATTTTCCTCAGTAGATGTGAAACTCACCTCCTTTGTTGGCGGCGTCCACGGCTTCTGCAGGGAGACCAAACTGATTCATCAGAGGACCTAACTGACCTGAGGCCAGCGCACTGCTGAACATACTCATCGCCTGCACACACACACACACACACACACACACACACACACACACACACACACACACACACACACACACACACACACACACACACACACACACACACACACACACACACACACAGTAGAAGTATTTTATATACAAACGTCCGTATCTCTCATAAACATGGCGGTGTTAAATGAACATGAGGAAGCAACATGTTGGCACTGAACTCAATCAGACGTATTGAGGATGATATTGATACCTGCTGGAACTGAGGCGAGCTGAGAGTGTTGTTCAGCTCCTCGCTGCTCTGAGGGAGAGACTCTCCGGAGGGGAGGAAGGGAGAGAGACGCTGCTGCACCTCGGGGTGAGACAGGATGGGAGCCATGACCTCCGGGGTGAGCACGCTGGACAGATCCACTGCAGAAACCACATCTGTGCTTTAGCAAAGGTACAAGAACTCACATCTGTGCTTTAGTAAAGGTACAAGTACTCACATCTGTGCTTTAGTAAAGGTACAAGTACTCACATCTGTGCTTTAGTAAAGGTACAAGTACTCAGATCTGTGCTTTAGCAAAGGTACAAGTACTCAGATCTGTGCTTTAGTAAAGGTACAAGTACTCAGATCTGTGCTTTAGTAAAGGTACAAGTACTCAGATCTGTGCTTTAGTAAAGGTACAAGTACTCAGATGTGTGCTTTAGCAAAGGTACAAGTACTCAGATCTGTGCTTTAGTAAAGGTACAAGTACTCACATCTGTGCTTTAGCAAAGGTACAAGTACTCACATCTGTGCTTTAGTAAAGGTACAAGTACTCACATCTGTGCTTTAGTAAAGGTACAAGTACTCACATCTGTGCTTTAGTAAAGGTACAAGCACTCACATCTTGTACTCGAGTAAAGTCGAAGTACTCACATCTGTGCTTTAGTAAAGGTACAAGTACTCACATCTGTGCTTTAGTAAAGGTACAAGCACTCACATCTTGTACTCGAGTAAAAGTAGAAGTACTCACATTCATTAGCTAACAATGACATTATTGTTCTATTAATATAAAGGGAGGTCAGGTACTCTTTAAAACAGCTGCTAGTTATGGGTACTTTTTACTGAAGTACATTTCAAAGCCTCTTTACTTTTACTTGAGTAAAGAAGTTTAGTCAGTACTTCTACTTTTACCAGAATATTTTTAAACACGAGTATCTGTACTTCTACTTGAGTAAAGGATGTGTGTACTTTTGCCACCTCTGGTTACTTCCTCTCAGTACTTCTGGTGTACTCTCTCACCCCCCTGCATCAACATGTACTTAGTTACTTCCTCTCAGTACTTCTGGTGTACTCTCTCATCCCCCTGCATCAAAATGTACTTAGTTACTTCCTCTCAGTACTTCTGGTGTACTCTCTCATCCCCCTGCATCAAAATGTACTTAGTTACTTCCTCTCAGTACTTCTGGTGTACTCTCTCATCCCCCTGCATCAAAATGTACTTAGTTACTTCCTCTCAGTACTTCTGGTGTACTCTCTCACCTCCCTGCATCAAAATGTACTTAGTTACTTCCTCTCAGTACTTCTGGTGTACTCTCTCATCCCCCTGCATCAAAATGTACTTAGTTACTTCCTCTCAGTACTTCTGGTGTACTCTCTCACCTCCCTGCATCAACATGTACTTAGTTACTTCCTCTCAGTACTTCTGGTGTACTCTCTCATCCCCCTGCATCAACATGTACTTAGTTACTTCCTCTCAGTACTTCTGGTGTACTCTCTCCCCCCCCCCCCTGCATCAAAATGTACTTAGTTACTTCCTCTCAGTACTTCTGGTGTACTCTCTCACCCCCCTGCATCAACATGTACTTAGTTACTTCCTCTCAGTACTTCTGGTGTACTCTCTCACCTCCCTGCATCAACATGTACTTAGTTACTTCCTCTCAGTACTTCTGGTGTACTCTCTCACCCCCCTGCATCAACATGTACTTAGTTATTTCCTCTCAGTACTTCTGGTGTACTCTCTCACCTCCCTGCATCAAAATGTACTTAGTTACTTCCTCTCAGTACTTCTGGTGTACTCTCTCACCTCCCTGCATCAACATGTACTTAGTTACTTCCTCTCAGTACTTCTGGTGTACTCTCTCACCCCCCTGCATCAACATGTACTTAGTTACTTCCTCTCAGTACTTCTGGTGTACTCTCTCACCTCCCTGCATCAACATGTACTTAGTTACTTCCTCTCAGTACTTCTGGTGTACTCTCTCACCTCCCTGCCCCCCCGAGGGGACGTTCATGGTGGCCAGGATGCTCTGCAGGTCCCTCAGCTGGATGGGCTGCGAGGCGTTGGGGGTCCCGGCGGCGGTAGCGGGGGAGGAGGCGGTGGGGGAGGTGACGGAGGTGTTGGTGGGGGTGACGGGAGTGATGGGGCTGGTGGGAACCTGGGCGGAGCCGAGGCGGCTGGAGGCTGAGGAGGAGGTGGGGGTGACGGCTGTGGACGGGCTGAGAGGAGAGAGAGGAACATCAGTGGGTCATTTTATATATATATATTATTTATTTATTTACCCATGTAATCTTGTATTTCTACTATATTTATTACATATAATAGTTTTTTTACATGTATTTACTTTTTTTATTCACCAATGTATTATTTTTGTATTTGTACTAATTATTATAATTTTGTTCCATCATTATTATTTCTATTATTGTAATTTGTATGGCTTCATCTGATGTTTGTCAGGATTCTTGCAACTGTTTTTACTTGAACATCACTGGTAAAAAAATTATATTTTTTAAATGTATTTACTTTTATTATTCTCCTATGTATTATCTGCATCAAATACTGCCATGACATTATAAATAAATATATAATATTTTACATTACACTTCATTTAGCTGACGCTTTTATCCAAAGCAACTTACAATGACCAATTACAGGGACATTCTCCCTGGAGTAACTAAGGGCTAAGTGCCTTACTCAAGGGCACACTAGTGGTGATGTTCCTGGTGGGATTTGAACTCACAACCTTCCGATCTTCAGCCCACCTCACTATCCATTAGACCACCACGATCACTATCACTATAATATCCACTGAATAAAATGTTTAACAAACATCTGTTAGGATTTTTAACTTCCACACACTTCAACTAAATAAAATAACTCAAATTATAAAAATGTTCTGTATTTTCTGAACACTTTTCTTAATTTTATTTGGCATTTAATTATTTTGTGCAGGAAACCATAGCATGTATTTTGGGAAAATGTCTCCCTCTGGTGGAGAATAGTCGCAAGTTCATTTCTAAAGCCAGGGCCCTGAAGTACTTTATAGATCCCAATTTGGGACATGTTTGTGTTGCAGCAGCATAAAAAGACATGGCATTGTACAATACAAATTAAAATACAAGAAAGTAGAAAAAATACATGTTGAATTTACAAATGAACAATAACAAGATATAAAGCAAGTCTATTATACAGGGATGGATTTTATAAAAATGGGTCTCGAATGGAACATATTTTATTCGGCTAAACGCTTATTATGGACTTTTGATAGGAGCTGAGGTCACACTTTCATAATTAAATCAAAACCGTGTACGTTAAAAAAAAATAAAAAATATGCCACCAAGTAGTCCACACACACCGTCAGCAGCTGTTTGGAGTAAATGTAGTGTTATAAAAAGATGTGTATTTAAAGTGACCTGGTGGAGGAGTTGCTGGCTGCAGGGACGCTGCTGGAGCTGCTGCTGCCCAGCAGGTTAGCCAATCCTGGGCCAGCGAGGGCCCCGAGGCCCCCTGAGGGCGAAACATCACGTTATCATCTGAGAGAAACTAAACATAAATAACATTCATGACATATTGTTAGAGCCAGTATTTCGTTTTTATAAGAAAGGCCACCTAATCGTGACGTCTGTAGTCAACCAGAGTATAAAAGACTACAATTCCCACGTCGCCTCCTCTAAAGTGACAGAGATGGGAAACCTGTCAGAAGGACGGCGTCGAGGAACAGTTTCTAACCGTTCAACTTTTAAGTTATGAAGTTATATAAGCCTCATCAAGACAGAAAGAATACCTAAGTTGTTTGTTATTTTATTTGCCTCTTTGTTTTGACTATTGTAAAGCCCTCTTTTCTTTCTTGCATGTGTAAAAGTTTGTTATTTTATTTTGAGCAAACACATCTCTCGTCTCTTCAACTGTAAGTAATGTAAGTTATAAAATGTCTGTTTAAAGCGTCTAGTGGCTTGATAGATAAACAAGGAAGGAAGCCACGACAGATACACTCTGTGAGTTTCTCCTCCGTACCGATCCCGCCCAGTCCAGTCGGTCCGATGAGCTGCATCAGCTGGTTGTGGCTCATATTACCCAGAAGGCTTTGCAGGCCGCCCTCACCTGCACGGGAGAACAAGAAAATCCAGCATGACAATTAAGAAAATGTATAAAGAAAGCGTAACTAGACAGTATGAAGTGGACTTGTGATGGTTTTATGTTTCAGTATTTGTAACTGTGACATAATAATGCTTTTATTTTACTTTTTTATGGTTATTTCATTTTTTCTTTTTTAAGAAGGGGCAGGTAAAATGAGATGTACTTCTCCCTGCTCCTTTCCACCATGCGCTATAAAAACTAAACTGAAAAAACAACCAGTATACGTGTACATGTTGAGTTTATTTAATCAGAATCAGAATCCCTTTATTAGTCCCACAGAGGATACATGTACATTGTTACAGCAGAAAGAGCCAGAGACAGCTTCATGTTACCTAAAGCATGCATACAGCAAAGTATTACAGATTTAAAAAAGAAATGATAATAGGTGTTATAGTCTGTGTTGTTGTGTGGGGGGTCTACTAGGGGTCGTGGTGGTTATATAGTCTGACCGCTGCAGGAAGGAAGGACCTGCGGTATCTCTCTCATGTGTAGGTGGTCCAATACTTTTGTCTACATTGTGTATAATTGAGTATCATCCGCATAACAATGAAAATGTCCCGAGTGATTCCTTATTGCCTAAAGGAAGCGTATATAATGTGAACACAATAGGTCCAAGCTCTGAGCCCTTATGCTTTGCTGTGGCAGAACTGGCTGGATCAAATCAAACAGAACTCTAAACACATTTTCAGCTCTGCACACAATCTGCAATTCAACTCTGCACTTTCTAAAACACTGCACACGGTTCTCTGAGTAACACACAGAGATCTGACATATTCACCTGTCAGCCATTTTCAACACACTGCCATTAAACATGCTACACATATGAGCCAATGAACAGATACACATGCCAGCTGACCGTTAACGCCTGGCTGCTTTACTGCTGACTCATCAAGCAGGATATAAGTACAAGAAGTGGGATATTTATTTTTAAAATGTGTTTTTTTATCACAGAGCTGAGAAAATAATATTTATTATAAAAAAATCAAATATCCTGTTTATGAAATACACAAGAAAAAAAAAAAGATTTAAGAACAAATTAACATTAAATTTAAGCAAAACAAATATTATGCTATTTGGAAAACATAAAACAAATCCTCAGGTGCAATTAATACTAGATAACATAAACATAGAAAGAGTATATGAAATGAAGTTCCTTGGTGTGGTTTGAGACCACAAGATCAGCTGGAAACCTCATATCAATCATGTAAAAGCAAAACTGGCTAAGACTATCGCAATATTGGTCCGGCAGTGGCTCAGTCAGTAGGGGCTTGGACTGTGAGCCGTAGGGTCGCTGGTTCAAGTCCCCGACCAGACCTAAATATGGAGTGTGGACTTCTACTTGGAGAGGTCCCAGTTCACCTCCTGCCCTGCCGTGGTGCCCTTGAGCAAGGCACCGGACACCCCCCTTCCCCCCCCACTCCCATTGCTCCCCGGGCGCTGTACAATAGCTGCCCACTGCTCCTAGTACTAGACTCCTTGTACTAGGATGGGTTAAAAGCAGAGGCCAAATTTCACTGTGTGTGCTGTGTGCTCTGCATGTGTGACCATTGGAGAGGGTTTCATCCCTCCATATTCTATTCTATATTGGGGAAAGCAAGACACATTCTGGACTACAACTCATTATGCTCTGTATAATACACTCATATTGCCATGTCTGAGTTACTGTGTGGAGATTTGGGGAAACACTTACAAAACCAACCTACAGCCGTTATGCACATTACAAAAAAGGGCTATAAGAATAATCAATAATGTTGGATATCTTGAACACACTCATTCATTATTCTTGAAGTCACACACACTGAAGTTTACTGATCTGGTTACATTTAAAACGGCACAAATCATGTACAGAGCAAGACATCATCTACTTCCTAGGAAATTACAAACATTGTTCATAGACAGAGAGGGCGGGTATAATTTGAGAGGAAATCTACATTTGAAACAACTCAAGGTCAGAACAACTGTGAGAAGTATGAGTAGAACAATCTGTGGGGTGATTTGATGGAACGGTTTGGAGCAGGAGTTCAAACAAAGCACAAATATAATTCACTTTAAAAGGATGTACAGAAACACTTTCTTGGAAAACTATGAGAATGATTTAAGGTGATTGAAGATGAGAAATGATTGTAAATGTATGTATAAATGTAAATATGTAAGTAGGAATAACTTGCAGAAATGATTTAAAGGATAATCATTGATCAGCGGTAAGTAAGGGGTGGGAATTAATAAGCATTTGCTTCCTCCTGCTCCCTTTCGGACACATATGATTTATTATTATTATTAATATGAATATTGATAAATACTGTATTCTAACAATACGGTATTCTGTTTTTCACATTTGTTATTTTTTATTTGTTTTTTTAATCTGTTCGAAATAAAGATGGAAATGAAAAAAAAATGAAATTAAGTCGTTAATTCATGAGAAAAGCACTCGGATAGAAAGTCAGAAACATTTGAAATATTTGTTTAAAATGTCGTTTAAATAAAATGTCCGAAGAAAGTATTCAGAGTAATTCTTATTACAGTTTTATAATTGTTTTATATATTCCTCAAATGACCTGCTTTGACTGCAGCTTGAGAAACTTCTGGATTCAGTCTGAAAGCATCCTTTTTTAACTTTAAACATGATCTTTAATAATGTTGTAGTTTAGTTTAACTCTGAGAGGTGGACTGGCTGGACTCCTCACTGGGACTCTGGTTCTGGACCAGCTTGCAGGGTCCAGGAGTTCTTGGAGAGAAGGAGCGCTTCCTGCCGCAGGACTCGGGGGATGGGAGTTCCTGAACATGGAGAAACAGCTTCAGTTATTATGCTCCAAATATCTGGAACAAAGTCACAGAAAGAATGTGTCTGCAGCTCAGAGAGTCCTGCTGGGAACCCACACATGTTGAGGAGCCCAACGTGTGATGAGAGAAATGTACAGTACGGGTCCCCAGCACATAGAAGCTGCCGGATGCTAACCTGCATATGTTGGGAGAGCTTTACAGATCAGGAGAGGAACTAAGTACATTTACTCAAGGACTGTACTTTTACTTTACATGTCACTTGTTAGACACTTTTATCCAAAGCGACTAACATACTCAATACTGTGGGCAATCCCCACAGGAGCCATTTGGGGTGAAGTGTCTCAGGGACACAACGACATGCTGACTGCAGTGGGGTTTGAACCTGTGCTCCCTTGATCCGAACATCAACGCTCTATCTACTGCGCCACACGCCTCCACACTTAAGTACAATGTTGAGGTACTTGTACCTTTCCTGAGTATTTCCATTTTATGCTACTTTGTACTTCTACTCCACTACAGTTCAGAGGTACATGGTGTACTTTTACTCCACTACATGTATTTAATACCTGATATGATCAATAATTATAAAACTTATCTTAAACTTATATTATTCTGAAATGGACCAATCTGCACAATGACTACTTTTGGTACTTTAACTATATTTTGATGCTAATACTTTTCTACTTGTATTAAGTAACATTTGAATGCAGGCCTTTTACTGTAACAGAGTATTCCTACACTCTGGTACTTCTACTTTTACTCAAGTACCAGATCTGAGTACTTCTACTTTTACTCAAGTACAAGATCTGAGTACTTCTACTTCTCTCAAGTACAAGATCTGAGTACTTCTACTTTTACTCAAGTACCAGATCTGAGTACTTCTACTTTTACTCAAGTACAAGATCTGAGTACTTCTACTTTGACTCAAGTATATTTTGATGGTAATACTGTAACTGGTTATAATGTTGATGTTTTCATGTGTTTTATTCTTCAGAGTTTATTTACATTTTACAGAGTGTCAGTGAACGCGTCACTGTTTTGATAGACAGTTGTTGTGAAGAGAAACAGCCAAAATGATGAAGAGAGAAAAACAAGAGTGTTGTTTTCCTCTGAGGACATGCTCCATGAAAGAGTTTCATATCTTGATGAATGGAGGATATTCAGTACTCACAGTTCTTCTGGATCTTGGCTCTGATCGTCTCATCCTCTCTGATCCTGTAGGGATGAACACAATCCAACAGTTATGGATCCAGTTTAAAATAAGTGTTTGTTCTTTGAGTCAGCTTCAGAGTCCTGACTGATCTCATGCTTTACATCCCATCATATCTTCTCTGCAAACACTACGACTGACTGCCACAGCTCTCAGCTGCATTACAGGAAGTAACAGTCATTAGTCAAGGAGCTAAAAACATCCCATCAAAAACAGACTACCTTTTCCACTCTTCTGTCAAATCCCATATGTCTGGTGGAAAGTTGATTACTTACTAAATGTGGCTTTGCATTTCCAGCTGGCCTTCTATAGTTGATGGAAGAATGAAAGAGCCTGCAGTCAGTGGATAACATCACTGATCTGTTGTGATTCCCCAGTGAGAGAAACACCTCCCTGTGTTTCATACAATACTGCTGAACCAGCAGAGACCCCTTACTGACCTGAGGGTCTCCAGTCTGCAGTCTGGACTCTCCAGAAGATCTCTCAGCAGCTTCTCTCCTGAATCCTGCAGAGGGTTCTGACTCAGGTCCAGATCTCTCAGATGGATGTTGGACTTCAGAGCTGAGGCCAGAGCAGAACAGCTGATCTCTGACAACCTGCAGTTCCACAGTCTGAATAAAGAAAACATGATGAGGATACAAATCTGTTTATAATCCAATCAGATGTTACTCAACATTTAAATGAATCTGAACAGAAACATCTGTCTACTTCAGAAAGTGAACTTTATCATGTAAAACTGAAATGACTTCAGATGACCTTTATTCAGACGTTATCATTTACTAAATATTAAATACATACATTTACTTTTTACAACTAACATCTATTACAGTTCCTTTAAGAAACACTCAACATGTATGTCTGCAGTTCTTACTTCTTAATCTTTAAAATGAAATATGAATATAAGGACATTTACAACTTTATGGATGTAAGTTATTAATGAATATAAATGAGGTTCAATGACAAAGTGAACATGTGAGATCTCCAGC